GCTGCCCTGGATCCGGGACCCCGCGCTGGCGCGGGTCCTCTGGAAACAGGAGCTGAGCGTGGGGCGCCCCCGAGGGTGCTGAGTCTCAGGAAACAGAATTCTAACGAGTTCCAGGTCCGCAGGTACCTGGGCACTGGGCACGTACCAGCTTACGGTTTTGGGGGGTGGTTTTTAAAAATATTTTTATTGATTTCAGAGAGAGGAAGGGAGAGAGAGAACATCAATGATGAGTCCTTGATGGGCCGCCTCCTGCACGCCCCCTGCTGGGGATCGAGCCGCAACCACGCCTGCGCCCGGCCGGGAATCACGCCGGGATCTCCTGGATCCTAGGTCGATGCTCAGCCGCTGAGCACGCCCCGGGCAACTTAGTTTTATTATTGTCATTAACAGACAATATCAAAACAAGGCTAGTCATGTACAGGCCAGGAAGGGGGCCACGCTCATTTGCACACTTAAGCCCGCCTTGCGTGCACTTTCTCGCTTACATTTTAGGGAGGCAAACCTGCAGCTGCTAAATTAACAGGAATTCCAATTTAAGGGGTTAAACTAAATGATAAAATAAAATGTGATGAATAACTAAGTAATGAAGACCTGACACACCATTGTTTTGAAACTTGGCCTTTTAGCAACAACAATTCCTATTGAAAACTGGCAAAGTTGCCCGGCGGGCGTGGCTCAGCGGTTGAGCATCGACCTGGGATCCAGGTGATTGGGGTTCGATTCCCGGTCAGGGCACATGCCCTGTTGTGGGCTTGGTCAATGACTCTCTCATCATTGATGTTTCTGTCACTCTCTCTCCCTCTCCTTCCCTCTCTCTGAAATCAATGAAGATATTAAATAAAAAAATAAAATAAAATAAATAAAAAACTTCAAAAAAAATTGGCAAAGAAAAAAATGGCAGATCACTACCATTTTGAGGCACATTTTACACATTTTCAACAATTCTGAAATTCGATATAGTTTACAATCACTGTGTATTTTAATGTTGTGTGCTTATTTTCCTCTGAAAAACTATTATTAAATGAATGGTCGATCTTCTAACTGATGATTTTTTTGAATCAAAGAAATTTAGTAGTAGGCTGCCTTCATTTTTGTGTGGGAACCAGCTAGAAGAGTATTGTCCTGGTGTGGCTTTTTAGACCTATTTTTAAAATCAGTGTCGAACTTTTTATTATGAAAACTTTAAAACATGCATGTAAGTAGAAAGTATAATATAGTGAACCCCCATATACCCATCATGAAGTTTAAAGGTTCACCAGTCTTATATTCTTATCTAACCCCACTTATTATTTTTGCCAGGGTGTCTTAAAAAAAAAAAATCTAACGCATTGTGTCACTTCACCATGTATCGCTCACTGATAAGGACTTTTTTTTTTTTTTTTTTTA